ATTATATTATGTTCTTAAAATTTTGCCCTAAGTTTAAAAGTTAGACATTAAGACAACTCAAAATCAGGATGACATGTAGCTTTGCCCCTTGTGGCCTGAAAGAACATTCAGGTCCTGACCAGAATGATAAAGAACCCAGGGTTATTATCCTTTGATGATGAGGGTCATGCATAGAATCTAGACAGGGTTGTTTTAGATTCTATACACAAATAGAACCAGGGAGATAGTCAGTTAGTTAGTTAGTTAGTTAGTTAGTTAGTTAGTCAGATAGATAGATAGATAGACAGACAGACAGACAGACAGATAAAGAGATACAAACAAAGCATATATAGATATATTGTTGTTGTTGTTGTTAAGTGCCATCGAGTCGGGTCCGACCCATAGCGACCCTGTACAGGGTTTCCGAGGGTGTAAATCTTTACGGGAGTAGAAAGCCTCATCTTTCTCCCGATATAGATCCATGGATATCGACAGATGAATGGATGGATGGATGGGTGTGTAGATAGAGTAGCTAGATATATAGAGATAGATAAATTTAAAAATATGTATATATATAATACTGCTCCCATAAAGATTTACAGTGTCGGAAACCCTGTACAGGGTGGCTATGAGTTGGAACCAACTCCACGGCACATAACCACTGCCACAATAAACCTATTGCTCTCTGTTGGATTCCAACTCAATGACCTCACAGGATAGAGTAGAACTTCCCCATAGGGTTTCCAACATTATAATTCTTTTGGAAGCAGACTGTCATATCTTTCTCCAGCAGAGCAGTTGGTGGGTTTGAGTCACCACACACAGAGCACTTAACCTCTACACATATATGTTGTTGTTGTTGTTATGTGCCGTCAAGTCGATTCTGACCCATAGTGACCCTGTATAGGGTTTCTGAGGAGCAGCTGGTGAGCTTGAACTGCCGACCTTGCAGTTCAAATGGCTTTGCAGTCTGGCGCATTAACCCACAGCGCCACACCAGGACTCTGTACATATATGAGGGGGCTTCAAAAAATTTGTGGAAAAATGAAATGAAAAGTTAGGACTTCAGGCAAGATGGTAAAGCAGGCAAAAATGTTGAGCATGCCCCTTGCAACAACTACATGAGAGACCAAGTGAAATACACGACGGGACAGAGCAGTGAGTTGAGTGCCCACTGGAAACAAAATGGGTTGAGTGCCCACTGGAAACCAAGAGTAGAAAGAGAGAAGAATGAGTGAGCTATAGGCTAGCATGGGGTGACATGGCCATCTTGAACTTTTATGAGCAGCTATTGATACTGTCTGGAATCCTGCTATAGCACCATGGGCTAATGTACTGGGCTGCAAAGTTGGTTTGAATCACAAGTTTTGTAGTTCAAGTTCACCAGTAGCTTCTAGGTAACCCTGTACAGGGTCTCTATGGGTCAGAACCAACTTGACAGAGCATAACAACAAAAATTAATACCATGGACTTCTGATGTGGTGCTGTAGGATAAGCGCTGGCCTGTCAACCACAATACTGGCAGTTCAAACCCACCAGCTGCTCCTCAGAAACCCTCTACAGGATCGGTAGTAGTTGGAATCGACTTGACAACAACCACATTACTACAGTAGCCTGCAAGCACAAGACTTGTAGGCAAGGGTTGTGTGGTTCTTCCTTGTTCCCATGCACTCCTGGTCCTGTCCCTTGCCATCCCATTGGTCAGTGGCACCCCTCCTGCCTAGCCTCTGCTCTTCCTAAGGTCAGTTGCTCGGCACATTATCTCTGCCCCTGGCATCGCATGAACCCACCCTGAACTACATTACACAGAAAGCAGAGAAGTGCATTCACACTTCCAGTTTCCAGCACCTCTACCCGAGGACAGGTGGTGAGTGCCTGAGAACACAACAGAGAACCAATTAGATACAAATACGTCGCTCTAGTGTCTCAGAGAATCCAGACGATTTCAGTTTACACAAAGAAATGAGACAGAGTGCCTCAAACAAGTAACCAAAATACAGAGTCCGAAAATACAATATCAGAAATTCTATCAGAACTGCTTGATAAGGAATTTAAAGGAATCCTATTTAGATGCTATCAATGGATTGGGAGAATGACAGAGAAAACTGTAGATGGAATTCAAGAAAATATAGACAAACTAAAAAGTAAATTGATTATAATAAATATCAGCTTGGAGGTAAATAAATGAAAACTTGGAAACAAAACCAGCAATTAGAAAACCAGAAGATTAATATTAAGACTTCAGATATAGATAATATATTTAAAGTGCAAAGAAGTAAAATTCAATCACATATAGGCCAAATTACTGAGCTTGAAGACAACTCTCTCAATGTTCATCTGCTAGAGGAACAATCAGTAAAAAGAATGAAAATAATCCAAAGCAAGTCTAAGACTTATGTAGGATATTATGTGTAATTGGAATTCCAGAATAGAAAGAGACAAAAACAAACAGAAAACTACCCAAGAGTTGTTGGAAGAAAACTTCGCTAGCATCATGAAAGACAAGAAGATAGCCATTCAAGAAGTTGAGTTAGCTCCAAATAGGATAGACTCCAAAGGAAAACCACCAAGACATTATAATTAGACTTTCAACACCGAAGACAAGGAAAGAATCTTGAGAGCAGCTTAGGAAAAATGAAAAGTTACCTACAAAGGAGAACTAATAAAACTAAACTCTGATTTCTCAACAAAAACCATACAGACTAGAAAACAATAGGATGACATATGTAAAACTCTGGATGAAAGCAATTGTCAACCAAGAATCATACCCCCAGCAAAACTGGCAACCGGATATAAAGAGGGAAATTAGGACATTTTCAGATCAACAAAAATTAAAATAACTTATAAGAACAAGACCAACCTTACAAAAATTATTAAAGGGTGTTTTTTGGACAGAGACTCAACAACAACAGACAAAAATCTGAGACTAACACACATGACAATATCACCCTGAACTCAATCCAGATATGTTGTTGTTAAGTGCTGTCAAATCAGTTCCGACTTATAGTGACCCTATATAGAGTCTGCCAGGAGCTGCTGGTGGGTTTGAACTGCCAACCTTGAGATTAGTAGTCCAGTGCTGATCCTACAGCACCACACCAGAAGTCCCAATGCAGATATAGAAGTCTTCAAAGTAAAACAAATCTACAAGATGGAAAATAGGAAACCAGAGATAGCATTTGCAGCCAAAAGAACCGTACAGTAAAAGCAAGCAATAATGTAGTTACAGAACTTCCAAGTTAAGAGGAAAACAGGAGCATTTCAGAAAAACAGAAAATAGACTCAATTTTAACTCTAAATCTAGACCAAGCCTTACTCCTATCCCTAACACTAGATCTAGTCCTAACCATAACCCTAACACTAAATGAAGTCCAAGACCTAACCTAGACATAGTTGTAGTCCTAACCCTAACTCCTTACTTCTACCCACCACCACCTGCCCAAAAAAGATCATGGACTTTTTCTATGATGTTATTACAGCACCTTGTGTGGATATGTACATTTCAGTACCAGTCGGGCTGCCAACCTCATGATCAGCAGTTCGAAACTACCAGCCGTTCCACAGGAGAAAGATGAGGCATTCTGCTCCCGTAAAGATTTACAGCCTTGGAAACCCTGAGCAGGGTCACTATGAGTCGGAACCGACTCCAAGGTACTTACCAACAATAACACCAGTTACCATGGAGTCCTGGTGTGGTGCTGTGGGTTAATGTGCCAGACTACAAAGCCATTTAAACTTCAAGGTCGGCAGTTCAAGCTCACCAGCTGCCCCTTGGAAACCCTATACATAGTCACTATGAGTCGCAACTGACTCGATGGCACTTCACAACAACAACAACCAGTTACCATGGAGTTATTCCCAACTCATGGCGACCCTGTGTGTGTCAGAGTAGAATGTGCTCCACGGGATTTTTAATGGATGATATTTTGGAATTAGATCATCAGACCTTTCTTCTGAGATGCCTCAGAATGATAAATCTCCAACATTTTCATTAGTAACTAAGCATATTAACCATTTAAATCACCCAGAAATCCTATCTCACTCAAGGAGAGCAGGTGGGATGTATTGGTGAGAGAAAGAGACAGTGACTTACTTTAAAAAATGACAAGTGTTTTGTTTGGAGCTGGCAGGTCCAATATCTGTAGGTCAGGTCGTAAATTCCATCAGTCTTGTTTCTCAAAGCCCAAAGGTCAGGAGACAGGGAGAGTGAAATTCTGACAAGATTCTGGTGGCAGAATCCTTCCTAGGGAAAACTCCTTTAATGAAGTTAAGATCTTCAACTGAGTGGATAAGGCCCACCACATTATGGAGAATAATCCGCTATACTCAATTTCATCTGATGTGTTCACATGTAAGTCCTTCCTAAGAGCATTTGTACAAACAACTGAACTCCATAGCCTAGACAAGTTGGCACGTAGTTAACCATCACGATGCTGCATTAATGTGTTTTGCTACTTACATGGGAAACCCACCCTCCCAAACAGAGTTTATCACTGTGGCCACATTGTGTTTCTTGTCACTTACATTTCTCCAAAGGGCTATAGGCCCAGGTGCCTGAGACCAGCAAGACCTGGTCTTCTGATTCTTCCATTGGTTAGAATGAATTACCTACATGATAAAACAGAACAAAACAAAACTCTCCTTTTGTTACTATGGATTGAAGTTCATAGCATCATTTCCAGACACCATTAAAATGTTGTGGAGGATTTCTGCTCTGTCCTGCCAGGTTGCTAGAAGTCAGAATTGAATGACTGGCAAAGGCCTTTTTGTTAAGATGCTGAAGATGAGTATGGAATGGAAAAGACAAAATGATAAACACAGAGAACACCATTCATTAATTCACTCATTCAACCATTCATAAGTAAATGCCCATTTGTAATAGACCTGCCATGTGTTAGCAATCGTGCTAGGAACTAGGGCTATGCCAGGAATCAAGACTGTTAAATGCCTGCCTTCAGGGAACTTATTGTTTGGTGAAGAAAAAGAGATAATAAACAAATATGAAAGCAACCACCTATAACATGACGACTGGCAAGGACTGCTCAAAAGAAAAAATAAAGTCAGATAAAAGGCTAAAAACGACACGGGTAACGATATTTGCTGCCAGAAGGTGTGGTCATATGTATATAAAGATTCTTTTATTCAATATTTATTGACTGCCTTTGATGAGCAGGGTGCTGAGTGAGATACAAGATGAATAAGACGTGGGCCCTGCTGTCCAGAAGTCGACAGCTCAGTGGAGAAATCTCACCACCTGCTCCATTAGGCAGACAGATTAGAAGTCTCAGGGCATATTGCTGCAGTAACATTGTACACAGTGACCAATCTGAACAGATTGTAAGTATTCCAAAACTCACTGTGGTTTCCATAAAATAATTCTCACTTCAAGTAAACATTTTCAGTGGGTGAGTAACTATTTTCCACCGACAGCACTCATATTTGAGGACTTTCTTAATGCAACGACGGCTTGTTTTTCTAATGGGTTGCCAAGGATTGTTTGGGCCCTTATTGAAATGGACTTGCTTCACTCCTCAAAGCAACTTGGCTGAGTTTCTTTTTGTACTGGCAAATGCTGCCTCCTGTACTGAAAAATGTGTTCTTTCTGAAAAATGTGGACTGTCCCTGGATGTTTTTATTAAAATTAGAGATCAAAAAGAATAAATTATAGAGACATTTTGCTAAGTCAGTGGTGAAGAATAGATCAGAACTTTGTATCAACAAGATGTGCATAACCATAGGTCACTTCTTTGTCCACATGTTAACTATTCCTAGTCCTTTACTACTTTGTGCAGATACCTCCTGGCTCAGAATTCCCTGATTCAGGGAGAAGGCAGAGAAAATAATCAGAACAGTCAAAATATTAGCTTTTCTAAACAAGGTGCTTTTCCTTATAATGATTTTAATACAGCCTTCTCCCCATCCCTGAGCTTTACAAACATGGTCAGTAATAATATGACATTGTTAACAAGAAAGCTCCATCATGTGAGGGAACAACAGTTAGCTGAGAAGTCTTTGTTTTCCTGAGAACAGAGCCTTTTTGATAGGCAGGGGAGATCATATCACACACAGTTGTTTCAGAGTAAAGGAGACAGACTTGCTGATCTCTGGGTTAGCCCAGACGAACATAATCCAATCACTTCATAGGATCCATGTTGGAACCTTACTCCCCTTCAACTTCTCACTGTCAAATTCCTCACTCTTTGCCATTGTAGAAGACCCAGGAGAGGAAATTATTTTGGCTTGGCTGAGATATAAGCACAGGTGATCACTTCTTATAAACTTCTCCGTCTTTGTTGGAGCTATGAGCTGGTCTTTTTAGCAGTTTGTTCTGTCAGAGAAACAGAAGTCAGAGCTTTGGGTCCCTGCTCTTGATGGATGGGACGGTACAGATTACTCTAGACTGTCATCTTGTAGTGGGTACATTTCTTCTGAGTGGTCCCACAAGGAGGACAGTGCCAACCTGAATCACAGACTGTCCACAGCCAAGCTTCCTTTTGTCCTCACTTCTCTGGGCATTCCAGTGTGTTCTGTTTTGAAAAACATGCACAGCAAATTTTGAATTTTGTTAAGAAATTCTTTTTGTTTTCACCATCGCAAGTTAAAATCAATTTCTCAGAAATTCTTTTTTTCTACATGTTAGAGTCCTTCCCACTAGTAAAGTTTTCACTCTTTTTATGGCTTTATCTGTAAGCAACATCCACTGCTCTAATTATGTAACTTTTAAGGTAAATAATAGGCAGGAATTTTGCTATTATAATATTTTCTAAGAGCCATGAAAATTCAATCATTAGATAAGATCAAGATCTTAGTGCTAAACATAAACTCTTTCAACAAAACTTGCAAAGAATAAATTCTGCTATATCTGTAACTCTACCCTAAAATCCCTCTTAGTACCATTGATTGTTGTTAGGTGCTATTGAGTCGGTTCCAACTCTAAGCATCCCTGTGTACAACAGAACAAAACACATCTGGTCCTGAGTCATCCTCACAATTGTTGTTACGCTTGAGCCCGTTGCTGCTGATACTGTGTCAATCCATCTCATTGGGGGTCTTCCCCTTTTACTGTGACCCTCCAGTTGACCAAATATGATGTCCTTCTCCAGGGACTGATCCCGCCTGACAATATGTCCAAAATACGAAAGACAAAGTTTCGCCATCCTGGCTACTAAGGAACATTCTGGCTGTACTTCTTTCAACACAGATTTGTTTGTTCTTCTGGCAGTCCATGGTACTTTTAATATTGTACATGGCATATAAAAAGTCTATGGTGCTTAATAATGTCGGTGCTTCCTACATAGTCCCTGATTCAAGAATGTCACTCCTAGTGAGATTTACTTCATTCCATTTTTAAGTGGCCTATTCCATGGCTTATCTGTATGGCCCACATTTCCTCAGTGATGAGGTACTAATATAAGGACTTCCGTTTTCAGTTCTGTGAACTGTGGATCAGAGACTACACTGCAGTGAAGTAACTTTTCAGGTTGTTGTTGTTAAGTGCCGTGGAGTCGGTTCCGACTCAGAGCGACCTTGCACAGGGTTTCCGAGGCTGTAAATCTTTATGGGAGCAGAACGCCTCATCTTTCTCCCGCGGAACCGCTGGTAGTTTCGAACTGCTGACCTTGCGGTTCACAGCCCCATTCGTAACCACTACGCTACCAGAGCTCCTTACTTTTCAGGTAGCCTTCCCAAATAGGAAGGGTGTTCCAGTTGTTGGTAGGTTTGGCTTACAGTATGCAGTTTATTTGTTTGGGTTGTATGTTTTGAACATGTGCCCAGGACTTTGAAAAAGAGTGATGGGAGCATTTGTTTAAATGGAACTGAAAACCAGGGGATAGGTGCTGCCAACGCTTTAATTATGAGCCTAGCAGCATGGCCACTTACTTGAAAATCCAGATACAGCAGGGGTGGGGAATGTCCAGCCCACGGGCCGTAGAATGCCTGTTAAATCATTTGGTCTGGTCCTGCCAAGGCAACCGCAGTTCTAGCCATCACATTAGGGGTGAGTTAATTCAATTCTTGACCAAATATAACAGGCTAAGTTTTAAGTGGATAATTTTGTGTGGCCCGCCAATCATGTTATAAATTTTAGCAGAAAAAGAGGATATAAGGGAAGGAAAGTGGACTTGGGGATCTTCAACTGATCTGTTTCTTGTTGTTGTTAAGTGTCATCGAGTCAGTTCCAACATCTAGTGATGCTGTATAGGATTTCTGAGACTATAAATCTGGTTGTGGGAACAGAAAGCCTTATCTTTCTCTCATGGAGCGACTGATGAACTCGAACTGTTATGTGTTTCTCATTCCAGTGCTTATCCTGTAGAGCCGGGAAATGGAGAAATAAAGTTCACCTATTTTAAAGGAGCTCTGGTAGTAGCGTAGTGGTTACAAATTGGACTACAAACCGCAAGGTCAGCAGTTCAAAACTACCAGCTGTTCCGCGGAAGAAATATGAGGCTTTCTGCTCCTGTAAAGATTTACAGCCTCGGAAACTCTGTACAGGGTCGCTATGAGTCGGAACCGACTCCACGGCACTTAACAACAACAACATTCCTTTGGACATTCAAAAACATGACAAACAGCCTGTATCCTTTCCCCAGTTCCTCTTCACTCTGGGTGACATCTAGACACAATGTCAGCATGTCAAGTTCAGAGGTAGCCAGAGTGGCATTTGTGGTAGGTGATGTGAATTATCTACCTATGAGGTATTTGAAAGGTCCGATGAAAAGATTTACAGCCCTAGGCGCCACTTAGGGGGTGCCACTGAACAGTTCCTATGAACAATCACTGATTCCGTTGCCTGCCACAGGTCAGGGCTCGGTGTGTGATCTTGCTCTGCTGGGGACTGAGAGCTAAGAAACTGAAAACAAATCACAGACTAGTTTTCATCAATGAACGGCAGGCAGGTGCAGTTGTAATTGTCCTGGAGTGCCAACATGTGAGCTGGACTTGTATTTTTGAGCTGGCTCCATAAGATAAACACTGAACTGGGAACCACAAGGTTCACAGTTTAAGCCCTCCAGAAGGTCTGTGGGATAAAGATGAAGCTTTCTGTTCCTGTAAACATTTAAAAGGCTTCAGAAACCATATACAGGGTCTCTATTGAGTCAGAATCAACTCGACGGTCCTTAACCACAAAAACAATAAGGTAAATAAGTGTCAGATATTTGGACATGGACACAATTTCAGTGCTTGCCAAAGATGCTATTTTCCATAGATAGTGTCTCTGCCTGAACCCCATGTTGCCTTCAAGATCGAGGGTGCCAATATGTCATGGGATGTTGAAATGAAAGTGTGTTGGTGTGTGTGCTTATGTGTATGTCTTATAAACCCTATGACTTTCTTTTGCCAGAGGTGAAAAAAAAAAAAAGCCAAACTCTGGAACCTCTTGACTTTTAGACCAACTTTCCGAAGTTGTAACCAGAGCAGCTGGAGGCTGTTAAACACGAGGACATTACTCAGGTCGGGGTGGTGAACCAAAAGCATTGGGAAAGAATGAAAAGGAGAAGAGTAATTAATACTTGACACACACTTTCTCTTCCTTTAATTCTTGAGGATTTTGTTTTCCCTCAAGCCTGAGTCCAGGCAAATGCATTTCATTCCAGACGCAAAATACGAATCCTCTCCTTACCAATCTCTGTATGGATTAGGAATCACTGTAAGGTAAAAATCTCTGGCGCTTCCCCTGAAATGTGGATTTTTATTGTTATAAGGTTTTTATTGAGGGGGCTTTATTTGACATTTTTCTCATACATGACTCATACAAGTCATGTATGAGATGCATTACATAGGTATCCATTGTTGTTAGATGCTGCCTACTTGATTCCAACGCATGGTGTTCCCATGTGAGCAGCATCGAACTGCTCCAGAGGGCTTTCAAAGACTGTGGCATTTCAGAAGATCCCCAGATGAGTGGTCTTGGAGTACTTAACTGTTTGCATTAACCAGCATTGCCAAGGCAATGATAGTGTTCTTCTAATAGGATTTAAATATTTAATTGTGTGTCTGGGTGGAACTCAAAAGTTGATCTTTGCCTTGCAAGGCTTATTTTTGAAAAGGGCTGAGAAAAGACACATCCAATCAAGACGAACAG